AACATGTTTAAGTATACAGCGTGGAGGGGACCTCTTTGGATCTAAGAAGGGGGCTGTAATAGGATCATGGAGAAAACTGCATTATGAGGAGATTCATAAGTTGCACCCTTTATGATATATTATGGTGATGAAATCAAGGAAGAAGGTCGTAGCCCGCAGGGAAACCATGAAATACATACAAAATTTAAATTCGGGTCGTGGGGGACCTCAAGGAAAGAGACCACTTGGAAGATGTAGTCATACGCCGGTAAAAAAAGGTAAAGCTATCCCTGTAACGGTTCGTGGAGACCCACAAGGTTTTGAGACGTCGAGGCTCCCACATTTTCTAGATAATCGGCTCACAGATGGCAGTGAGGTCAGCTTTACGCGCCGGCCGCACCTTTACCCCCAAGAATTTTCCTGGTACTCATTTCTGTTAGAGGCTGAGTCGACCCCAGGCTTGGTACTTCCTGACCTGTGATAACTAATGCCATCATGGCCGTTGTGCGAATTTGCGAGATGGTAGCGGCGTTCTCAGTTATTTCGTCTCTTGGAACGAAAAATCAGTAGTTTTATGACGTCACTATGCTGTTTGCATGTGTGTGTATGTATGCGTGCTTCTCTTTTTTACTATTAAACAAAGCTGACTCGAATTTCATGAAGTTGTGTCATTGCAAGTAGTTAGTTAGTTATTGGAGAGGGTGGGTTTCCCCATGCACTTAGACCTGTATCGGTCCATTGTGCTTCCCTCTATGATTTATACCAGTCTCTGTATCCTACCGGCACTGGTGCTTACCACCAGTCCCGCCCAGCCAGCGAAACCGGCTCTACTAGCTAAGAGGTATCTATAATGCTTCCCCCATTACCAGAGGTATTAGAGACTGCTGGTGGGCGGGAAACGTCCACAATTTGGCTCAGTGACCTCCTTTGGAGATATGAGGTTCTATTACGTGCCGTAAAGCTACGACACGGGACCCACGGCTTAAAGTCCCTCCCGGAGGACTTGTTCCCTGAATTTTTCCGCCCTTAAAAATTCGACGACCTCCGCCGGGTATTTGAACCCACGTACTACGAGTCATGAGGTGGGAACGTTACCTCTAGACTACGGAGGCCGCTGTCATTGGAAGTAACACATTAAAGCTGAGAAACAGGAATTATCTTCAGTCTACCTTCAATTGTCAGTGTAACTGCCGCGAGGCATCAGTACTGGGTCTAACATGAGCGGCTTCCCCTCGGGTTTTGCCATTTACAAGATTGGAAATTTCTGTAAACTTGAACGAGATGGACGTGGGAAGTATAGTGATCGCCAGAGCAGGTCTGTACGACGTGGAGAAGAGAAAATTATTGGCCCTACCGGGACTCAAACTCCGACCCCTCTGTCTTCGAGCCCGTAGCCAATCGCTATACCGACGCCGCTATCTCGGCCTCCCGGTAGAATAGTAGGTGAAAGTGGAAAGTTCATGGGAAATGCGAGACAGTTTATTGTAGGGAAGGAGCAAGAGCGTCGTTTTGTCGAGAGGGTACATTTCTGCTGGGCCTCGTCAGCACATTCCTAGTTATGGGTCCCACTGAGACCTACGACCATATTTTTCTTCTTTCAGAGATTTACATGCTTTGAAATGTGGCCTCTCTTCGAGAAGAGAAGGGGTCTGACTGTTACTGGTCACTCCCCCTCTACTTGAGGTTGACTCGACTGCGAGCACGCACGCACTCACGCACACACAAGCAATTCCGCCCATAGAAGATTCATTGGTATTTTAATTTCAGTGCGTAGCTCATAGGAAACACATTACATCTCCGCTACAAAGCCCAACCGGTTAATGCTGTTTAGGGAATTTATTGTGAGAACCATACGGAACACAAATAATATATATAAAGATCCAGTTCGTACCTCGCAGGAGACACATTACGTCTCCGCTACAAAGCCCAACCGGTTACTTCTGTTTAGGGAAACAGTCGCTGTTTATTGTGAGAACCATACGGAACATACAATTAGATTGTGTGGGCAGAATGCAGAGGTTTAAAATGTTAAAACAGGTGGCGCATATAGAAGCCACTGTACCCTGCAGGGTTAATATAAAATCGCGTCACTTACGCCACTTCTTGAAGCGCGGATGTTTATTATCTCCTGATCTCCCAGCTCAGACACTGACGCATTGTTGTCATTTCGAAGCTGCTGAGTGTACCGTAACGAACAAACACATAAAGGAATAAGAAGAAAAAATCCAAGAGATGTGTCCAGTTGACTAAACTTTAGCTGCGATCATAATTATGACACCTGCTAGCCAGTTCCCATTGTACTTGTCTTGTATTATTCTACCCATGAATTCAGATGAACGCGGAAGTGTACCTAGTAAATGGACAACGTGCAGTTGTAATTACAAAGTCACATTAAAAGACATAGCTATGTTGCCACATTGGCACTTATTTAACGTCTCCAGGAATCTCAGCCTCGCGCTCGTCTGGTCTTTGCAGTAATGGCAGGCTTGAAGTCTGGTTTCATAACATCTACATCAGCTGGGGTAAAAGATCTTTTTGTATATAATTTCTTCGCGATTCAACGGAAAGCATGTTGAATTTGACAACAGTGTAATGCCGAAGAAACAGCAGGTGTTTGGTATTCGCTATCTGTGATGACGAATTTTAAAATCTTGAGTCATTTTGCTACAATTATGACTGTGAAAATGACCAAATTATGACATTAAGTTCTTATATTCTTTTCAAATTGTTGCTTAAGTTTTCCATATGTCCCTCCTGCACGTAACATCTTCATGAACGAAGACCATAAAAATAAAGCCGGAGTTGAGGTTCCCTTGACGGTGCACATGAAGAGTGTGCTCTGTCCTGGGTTGTAAATACTATTTGGGTTTGTAGAAATTCACAGGTGTTTCGAAGGAACATACTCTTTCCATCTTCAGAATACAGAATTGTAGCCAGGTGCCCGGTGTGTGAACGTCTGACTAGACGCCATTATGTCCCACAGTAGTGTTAAGATAGTCAGTCTTTATGCCATATAAAACTCAATTTGTCTGCATTACAGTTACTTCTGTATAGGGAAATAACATACGGAAACAAAAAAATACCAGTAAAGGTAAACTATCCCTGTAACAGGCCATGGAGGCCCATAGGGTTGTGAGAAGTCGAGGCTCCCACATTTTCTCTAGACAATCGGCTCACAGATGGCGGTCAGATTGTCAGCGTTACGCGCCGGCATGCTGCCCTTTACCCCCAAGAAAATTTCTGGTAATTTATACTCGTATTAGAAACTGAGTCGACCCCAGGGCCATAGTGCGGCTAGAAAGATTAGGTCAATTGAAAAAATCCAGTGACCTCATCGGGAATCGAACCCGCGACCTTCCGGACTGTAATATAGTGCCTCAACCAACTACGCTACTGCTTGCCCCAGTACAGATACCAATGTGTGGGCAAAATACACAGTATCTTACTATTAAAACACATGGTATATATAGAAACCACTGTGTTCCTGATGGTTTACAGAGCACGCCCTTCTTGTTATCATGGTATTCCTTCCGGGAACATTTGTCACAAATTTGTTTTCCCTCAGTTTAAGATATACCTATTTATCTGCCTTATCTTCTCGTGGTACACCGTGTTCCTTATTTCAAGTACTTATTGTCTGTACATCGTCACAAACAAAAAAGCCTTACGCCAAGTTTCTAACTTTTCAGGTCGTGTTCGGATCTGTTTCGAGCGCCAAGTAAGAGCGCTCTGTCCATCTTACACGTTAAGCAGTTCGAAGTATTGCCGAACTTTTTTCGTGAAATTTTATGTTTGGGAGTTTAAGGTGGACCTCAGTAACAAACGCTTTACACAAATGCCTTGTAGGCGTGTATGCCACAGTCTCCACACAACTTGTATGCAGCTCTCTTAACATTTTTCAGATGTTTAGAACAAAAGTTATAAGAAAACAACACGAAAAGGGTCAGGCACGTTCCAGAAGGAAATTGTTAGCATTATCAAATGCAGGAGGGTCATATGGGCGGTGTATGCAGCATTCGCAAGAGGAGTAACAATGTAGTCTTTCCTCCTTCAAAGACATTATTGCATAAATTCAAGTAATCTCGGAGGAAATATTTCCAAAACCGTATGCTTTAGGTACATTGCTCTTGCTTTAGAAGCAGATTTTTTTTAGTAAAGTTCATTTCCCTTTCCTTCTCAGTAATTTAACTGCGGTCTGTAAATTCTGGCCCACTTGTTATTTCTAACGCGGAAGGAGGAAAATAAACAAAACACCTCGTACACTGTCATGTACTCCCCATTTAGAAACTCGGCTTAACCGAAGTTGAAAGCACCAGTTTCCTCCTAAAGACTGATGAGCACCACACAGGCAGCACAGTATCATAAACGAGAAATCATCACCCCATTTGTTATATAATGTTGAGAGAATGTGAAGCAAATTGCATTATTCCCGCTAAGAACTGTGTGGTGATTAAATTGAGAGCTAACTGCCGTACTGGCCTACAGAATTTTGTACACGTAGCTCTGATTAAGTCGCTTTCTGACGAATTCGAAACTACATCTTATTGGTTTACACAAATGAACGGCTTTTCCCGCTGTTAACAGTACAGTCGATAGTGCAGGTTTGTATGAGTTGAGTTACTGATACCGTTTCAGAGGTTCAACTGAGATCTATTAACACGATTATAAACCGATGTTAAAATAGTTAACATTTTTGTTATTTCATGTAAATAAAATAACCCGAATATAAAAGATTGTAATATCGGTAACGTAGTTTGTTGGGGCAGCGGGTTCGATTTCCGATGAGATCATTGGAATTTTCAGTTGACACTCAGCCGCACTATGGCTCTGGGGNGGAGCCTCAACGTCGCACAACCCAATTGGCCTCAACGGCGTGTTACAGGGATGTCTTTACCATTTGTTTGCAGTATCGCTTTATAATCGTTGTATTGGCGGCAAGCAATTTTACTTTTGATTCTTGAGACACACAGCACGATGCAGGAAACAGAGACTAATTCGGTTGTTTAACGTTTACCTTGCAGATCGGAAGGAGGCACCCCACCATCAGCAGCATCAACTGAGCAGAGAACAGAGAGACTGTGGTAAAAGTGACCCAAATAAGGAATTGGCGATGAAGTTCCCTCTGGACCAGCAACCGCAGGACTCAGATGAGTCTGATCATCACCAGCAGACTGTCCCGCAGCAACACATGTGTCCTTACTGCAACTATACCAACAGCTCTGAGATGCGCATTCAGGCGCATGTGCTGGCTCAGCATTCCCAGTCCGAACCGTCACCCCCTTCGTCTTCTCCAGCACGCGATTTCCTGTGTCCGCTCTGCCAGGACGGCTTCCGGGACCGATCTCAACTGGAACGTCATGTTATGCAGATACACAGCGTCAACTCTGAAGGCCTTCAGCGGCTACTTCTTCTCGTTGATCAATCCCATTGGTTGAACGCAGTGAGCAGGTCTGGGCCCTCGACACCGCAGTCCCAGCAACCACATCAACAACAGCAGACACCCCCTGGTCCAAACTCACACCCAAATCAGATGATCAGCCCTTCTTCCGCCTCCAGCCCAGCGGGTTCCTCATCCGGGGGCAAGGACCTAGATTTGAGTGGGAAACAGAATCACTCAGATGTGAACTCGACTGAAGACCGAGACGAGACGATGCGTCCGGATTTACTGTCACCTTCACCAGACGACCAGATGGACATGGACGAATTCAGGTGCCAGACATGCTTCAGGAGTTGCAGGAACATTGACGAACTCTGCATGCATCAGAATGAGACAGGACATTTGGAAATAAAACAGACACCAAACGGGCCGGGTTATCTGTGTTGGAAGAAAGGATGTAACCAATACTTTCCCACTGCGCATAGTCTTCAGATGCATTTCCGTGAGATTCACGCTCGTGGGGGTGTTCCGGGCACGCCAGGACATCAGCAGACCATAGCCGTGTCGGAAAAGCACGTTTACAAGTACAGGTGTAACCAGTGCAGCCTCGCCTTCAAAACCATGGAGAAGTTGCAGCTTCATTCGCAGTACCATTTGATACGTGATGCCACGAAATGTGTGCTTTGCGGCCGTAGTTTCAGGTCGGTGCTTGCGCTTCATAAGCATGTGGAAACATCTCACTCAGAATTGTCCGAGGACGAATTGGCCGCATATAAACAGAGCTTGTTGAGTAACCCTCTACTTCTAGCGGGTCTCAGCGGTCAGGTGTTGGACCCTTCTACCAATGATTTGTTGAAGAAAGAGAGTTTGAAAATGGAATCCGAAGACGTTATGGATGCAGATGAAAGTCCTAGTAAAGACCAGGGTCACAGTCAGGATGACGGAATGGGCAGCAATATTGGGGACGGAGAAAACAGCGACGACTCCGTTGTTTACAAAGAACAACAGTTCCTAGAGGATTACCTCAACAGTCAAGCAATAGCAGAAGACAGCTACAACGATCCAAACCGTAAATATAAATGTCACCGCTGCAAAGTGGCATTTACGCGACAGAGCTATTTAACGAGCCATAACAAAACTTTACTTCATCGCAAAGGAGAAAAACTGAGCTACCCTATGGAGAAATATTTAGACCCAAATCGACCTTACAAATGTGACGTATGTAAAGAGTCCTTCACGCAAAAGAACATCCTTCTGGTGCATTACAACTCTGTCAGTCACTTGCACAAGCTGAAGCGTGCCATGCAGGAACAGCAGCAGCAGAATAACAACAACAACAACAACAACAATGGCGTGTCTGCAGTTTCGCCGCATGCAGTCGCTACAGCGGCAGCCGCTCTGGCTGCCAGCCTTGGAGTGACACCTCCACCTACTCCAAAATCAGCTTCAGTCTGTGATGACGATGATAAGAAGCCATACAAATGCAACATCTGCAAGGTGGCTTATAGTCAGGGTTCCACGCTGGACATCCACATGAGATCGGTGCTACACCAGACACGGGCGTCAAAATTGCAGGACTTGGCCATAACGGGTCAGATTGATCTCAGCAAGCCGCTCATAGAGCAGCCCGAGCCACAGAAAGCACAGGATCAACATAAGAAAATGCTGCAGGATATTCTTGGTACCGCGCCCAAACATCAGCAGCAATTGTCTTTGTCTTCGCTGACGTCGCCCTCATCGGGAGGCAGCAGCAGTACCAGCAGCAGCGGCGTCACCTCGCAAGTGCCGTCTCTTGTCCCGGGATCTTCTCCCATCACGGGCAGTAACATAGTTCCTCAGTCCACCGCTGCCGCTGCGACTGCTTCAGCAGCAACGTCAACCAACTCGATCATGTCACCAGTTCCTAATAGTTTATCGAATAACACTACAAGCACAAGTACAAGCAATGCGATGTCCAGTCATCAGCATCACCACACACAAGCGCCGCCCTCGCCTCAGCAGCAGCATGGCATGCTCTCATGTCAGAGATGCAGTGCACTTTTCGTCAGTCAGGAGCAGCTGAATACACACCAGCAACTGTACTGCCTGTTTGGTAGCCCAATGACATTATTTCCGCCTCTTCCTGCCCCACCACAGAACTCCAGCGTCTCAGTGTCATCGCAGGCATCTCATAGTTCCCCTCAACCTGGCACGAAGACCCCACCTCCTCTTCCAACCACCCCACAACAAGATGAGCCTTTCATGAGGCTGTCAATGCCAGGGAGGAAATCGTCACAAGTATATAAGCACCTCCTGGAAAGCTTCGGTTTCGATCTCGTGATGCAGTTCAATGAGAATCACCAGCGGCGACAAAGAAAGGAGCGGGAAGATGAAGAGATTTTGTTACCAGTGGCAAGTACTCAGACTCAAGTGACAGAGCAGCAGGAGCAGCACCAGCCCGTCGTTATCAAATTGGAAGATGAGCCTCTAGTGTCCATGGAACAGGACCTGCCAGAAGTGGCCAAGTCAGTATGTCAGCACTGCCGAAAAGAATTTTCAAGTGTGTGGGTCTTGAAGGCCCACTGCGAAGAAGTGCATCGGGACTTGGTCCCACCCGAATTCCTCGAAAAGTATGCTCAGCGGTTCAAGTCTGAATACGAGAAGAAGACAGTTGTGGTAACGGCAGCTACTTCAACCACACCCACAGGAACACCTGTTGTCACTACACCCGTCAGCCAACAGTGCGTGGCCACGTCCACGAGCAGTACCTCGACAAACATACCTCCCACCATAGACTTAACACCTGAGAAAGACAGCGAGGATAGCAAAGAGGCTGTTTCCAAGATAGTTCAGCAACAGCAGCAGCAGCAGCCGATGCAAGGAACGCCTCCAGAAATGCCTACTACTGCTCCCAGTACGCCGACGGCATCTTCCACCCCAGCGTCCAGCACAGACTCCATTCCTGCAACGCTTTCGACGTCTATGGCGGCAGCAGTTGCAGCGGCGTCGGGTAGTATGGGAGGTTCTGCAGCTGGAGCAAGCAGCAGCGCGAGCTCAAACCTGTCCATGTCGCTGGCGCAACAGATGAGCGAGATGCAGGCAGCACTAAACGTAATGGCGGCCTCTCAACTCCAACAGCAGCTGCAGCAGTTCGGGACGCCCATGATGATGGGAATGGCAGGTCTCGGGATGGGTCTCCCGCTCGGGCTCAACATGAACGCACTCGCCGCTATGAATCTGCAGCCCCCGCTTGTGCCTATGATGATGCCACCGCCGCATTTCGATCCGTTGAGTCTAGCACAGGCCCAGAACTCGATGTTCTCTCCGCAAGGAGGCGCAGCAGGGATGGACCCGAGCGCGATCCTGGCCAAACAGCAGCAACATCTGCTTCAGCAGCAGCAGCAGGCGGTAATAACTCTCTCTCTACCCCTTCAGTACTCTTCTATAGCGAAAGAGCTCATATATACTTTCTTTACTTTTTTCTAGTTTCTTAGGGTGGGGTGAGGCTGAGACTGAGTCCACGTCATACCTCGCTCACCAATTGGCCTATTCTACCAGTCCCAGACTACAGACGATGGTGAGTGGAGAATTTGGTGGAATGAGAATTGGCAGGGGAAACCGAAGTACTCGGAGAAAACCTGCCCCAGTGCCGCTTTGTCCATAACTGATCCCAGGAGACCTAGCCTGGGCTCGAACCCGGGCTGCCGCGGCGGGAAACCAGCGACTTACTGCCTGAGCTATGGTGCGGCCTCTTTTCCTAACCCGTCGAGATTACATAATGAAGAGACGCCCGATTTATGGCTTTGTCACTATTTACTTCCATAGCTCTCTTAATGGGAAACCAAATGTATGCCCATTTTTTCGTTGAATCCTCGGTGCAAATACTGACATGCATCTTTGTTTTTATTATTAATATACACCCGTCAACACAACACATTCGCATTAAATAATGAATATGTTATAATTCGCTTATTATGTATTAATGGGATCCGGGATAGCAAAGTCGGTACAGCGACTGGCTACGGGCTAGACAAACGAAGGGTTGGAGTTCGAGTCCCGGTAGGGTCAAGAATTTTCTCCACGTCGTCCCAATCGGTTCTGGG